CCCTTAAACTTTCTAAGTTGTTTCTTTACCCCACCCCTTTAATTTGTTCAAACTTGAGTAAACATTCAAAACAAAAGATTTCTGTAACATTAAAAACAACTCCCCAAGAAACCAAATTTTATCTGAAGCTAAAATGTAAACCTCGAATTATCTTTTGTACTTAAGTATAAACCCTAATTGTCTGAAAATTGCCAAATAATTTTTTCAAAAATGCATACTCCCGCTTCCAAAAACAGTATGCAGTGACAGGAAGACTGACTCAGCTATTCCTCACAGCTCCTCCGCACCCCTGCACACGTACTCGTCCCTAAAATGAACACTCAGAAGCCCCTGCACAACATGCCCCAGTAGACTGCTATCGACTTTCATATTATTCTCCACGTCTGATCGGTTACTAATCACCTTTGAACCCATCCTGCACACGGCTACAGCCAACATGGTCTTAAGCACCTCAGGTCACCATGACAGACTATCTGCTAGCTTCTGCATTCTAAAGTATCCCAACATCCATCCTAAAGCAGGGCACTTGAACCATAGCTACTCTTTAAAAGCCTTCAACATAAACTTAGTTTTTAGAATATATAAGTACTTAATTTTATATTTTATGTAAGTTTAAAATAAATTTAAAATATAAAACTAATAGTGTTCCGTGGATTTTCCCCATTAGCCCTGCATCTGAGGCTCTGTAACCTGGCTCCTTCAACCTTTCAACCCTACCTTCCACTTCTCTTACCCCATGACCTTTGCTCCAACCATGTTGGTTAATTCATTTTGTCAAGATTGAGCTGAATGACCCATCTTTTACCTGGTCTATAATGCAACACTCCAAACTCCAAGATCTCCTCTGGAGATTCCTATTTTTATGAACCTAACATCCTCTGTCTGCCATGAAGACCCCACAGCCCTCACAGTAAATGTGTTTCCCTCCTCTGAACCCATGGAGAGAGCACCACTGTAGCAGGAATAATCGTGATGTGACTGCTGACTTTTCTTCTCGTTTTGCAACACTGAACTATGTGTGGTTATAAAATTTCCATGTTTCAGTCTTACGGCCACAAGCAACTCACTGAAGAAGTTCTTTATGGATGAAATTATATTGCATTAAATTTGCTTCAAATACTGAAGGTTGGGTCAGGGGTAATAACCTGGGATAGGGCCTTCCCAACCACAGTGAACTGTAGCCTCTGCAACTGTGAGTAAAAAGAAACTTCATGGTCTCTCCATACTGAATGTGTTGCCTATTTGGTTACCTGAGCAAGGACAGTATTAATCCTTGTGTCGAATATTCTGAGGTTCGTGTGACAAGCAGACCCACTGATAAGTGGACAAACAAGAGCATGGGGAAAACTGTGGCTTGTTCCCAGTGCACCACGGTTAGGCCCAGGAGGGGGAAAACTGTGGCTTGTTCCCAGTGCACCACTGTTGGGCCCAGGATGTGGAGAACCATGCCTAGATCTAATCTTACACCCAGCTGCCTCCTCTGGAGACTCATACTTCTATTCAGATCATTTGTGATTTTTATGGACCTCAGCAACACCTGAGTCCTGCTCTTTTTAGTTCAAGAAAGTGAAGCCAGCCAAGAATGATAGTGTGTGCCTGCAATTCTAGCATTTGGGAGTCACAGAGATAGGACTGCCACTACTGCAAAGCCAACCTGGGATTATACACCTAGTACCAGGACCAACAAGTGCTGCACAGAGGGAAAGGAGAGGGCGAGAGAGAACAAGGTCCTAAGAAACCCTATGAAGAGGAAAGTATTTCAGAAACACAAACCAGTATGTGTTGCACAAAAAGCCAAATCCTGGAAATGAAGGATCACAAGGCCAATAAGAAAATTACTGCTTTATGGGTTCAAATGTGGCAATGAATTTTTTTCAGAAACTGTACTAGTGGACCCAGTAGTTTAACAAACCACACCCTTTTTGAAAACATGCTTTGGATGATAATATATGAACCGCCACAGCACTATCTCAGTAATCCTGACAGAAGGCGTAATTACATTGCTTAACTGGCAACCAGAGGTGCTTCTATTGCACAGTTTCAAGACGCAGCCAAAACATATTCCACCAAAACCTGAGGCTTTCCCTGTGCCTTAATAAGTGTGGGGCACACCCTCAGTAAATAGGCATGGCTTAGCTCAAATTAATCTCCCCAGGAGCAGGCTAATTCGGGGGTCAGTAATGTTAGAGTCTGTGTGAACAGCTGGGTGACGGTGTTCACATTACCAGCAGGAGGGTTCCTGCTCAACCTACCATTAGCAGACATTCTGAGCTCCTGGTTTAAGGCAGGTACCACGTGGACACCAATGTGTAAAACTAAGGCCTAAAAGTAGTGTGAACTGAGTTTCACTGGTCCATCACACAACTAAAGAAACTAATGCGGTACAAGCTTCACGCTGTACTTCATGCATCCATAGTACAGCCTCTGAAGAGTGTCACAGCAGGCAACGTGTGTGTGTGTGTGTGTGTGTGTGTGTGTGTTTAATACTTGGTGTATATGTGGTGGCCAGGGTGTAGTGGTGGCAAGGAGGCGGCGGCTAGAGGACACCCTCTAAGATCAGTCTCCTTCCACCGGGTGGGTTCCAGGGGTCAAACTCAGTCATCAGGCTTTACAGCAAGAACCTGTACCTGCCAAACCATCTCACCAGCTTCTAATGTTGTGCTTCTAGAAACAAGAGTCTCATTAGATTAACCAGGCTGGATCAAATCTCCTGGGCTCAAGTGATCCTGTCCCCTCAACTTCCTGAGTAGCTGACACTACAGGCATGCGCAAGCACACCCAGTTTGACTTTTGAATTTCTTTTCCAGCTATGTATCCAAAAAAAAAAAGAAAAACACAAGCTTTTCTATAATGCAAAGTTCATTTGAATAAATACATCATTCCAAAACCAAACAAACCATATCGCAAGACAAGTTCCATAAGCGATGAAATACAAATTCTACAATGCTCAACTGAGAATGGATTCAATCTCAGATACAAAAGACTCCTGTCAAAAATAACTGTCTCTGAGACAGCAGCAGCAGTTCACAAAGCCTGTGCAGCCTGCCTACTAGAAAAGGTAACAGTAAAACAAACCCTAAGCAAACAAGAACTGGAAGCAGCATTAAATGAAACAAATGTATCTAACAGCAGCAGCCTTTTAATTTCTTGTTTTGTTTTTCAAGACAGGGTTTCTCTGTGTAAGCTTGGCTGTTAAGCAGGGAACTTGCTCTGTAGACCAGGTTAGCAACTCTGCCTGCCTCACCTCCTGAGTTCTGAAATTAAAGGCGTGGGCCACTACATCCAGCTAGCAGCTACCGTTTTATTTTTAGCAACATCATAGCACTTTACTGAGCAGTGATGGACAAACTGAAAGCCACACAATCACCTTCATACTTGAAGCTTTCTGAACGCCAGGCCTGCTGGTACAGAACTGTGATCCCAGCGACCCTGGGGGCTGTGCAAGAGCATCACCAGCTCCAGGCAAATTCAAGTCCAGCTGGGAAACTCAGTGAGGCGCTTGCCACAAAATTTTCAGAGGGGGCAGGGGAACAGGATGTAACTCAGTTTATATTATTCACCCAGTGAGTGCAAGGAATAGATTCAATCCCCAGCACTAAAAATAAGTTGTCTTAAACAAAGTGAATGAGTTGGAACGCAACACTTTTTTTTTAACTTCAAGTGCTGAAAAGAGTAAGCAAATCATTCCTGCATCTGAGCATCCGGCAAGAATGTGTTCAGGGTCTGGCGATGCTCTGAAGTGGCAGAACACTTGTCTGTAGATGGACCAGGCCCTGGGTTTGACCAACACCACCAAGGAGAAAGGGAAAACAATATGCTCATATCTATGCGTACATCAGCAGTAACTACACTCATGTATTTTGATGCATGCTTGTACACAACTTTTTAACCCCTTAAATGCTGTTCACATATATGAATTGGAACTACTATACCCAAGCATATTTCCCCCGCGCCAGTTGAATGACCAGGAGGAAAATTTTCACGTTATTCCAGCTTCTGAACGACTAAGAACTAGTTCCCAAACACTCAAATATTACACTGCCTGAAAACCGTTCCACCCAGGGTCCTCCAAGCTACTGAATATAACATGTTTGTACTCAAATGATAAATGGGAAGGTGTGGAGGAACATTTAGTTTGTTCATAATCCCACTGGTATCAGTGGCCACTAACCCTTTCCTGAGCTTGCCACCCATCACAAATGAAGGGCGTCAGCAGTGTAACCATAGTACTGCAAGATGACATTCAAGTGAAAAACCCTGAAGCACTTCGGCTCTATTTCTCAGCTGTACTCCTGGTTCGCACTTGGGGGAAGCTCATTACTGCAGCACCGCAGCACCTCCGGCCTTCCCTCACAATGCCAACAGCACCCTCTCCCCAGGTGAGATCCAGAAAAGTCTCCAGACACTGCCCCATGTTCACTGGGGGAACAAATGTTGGTCTGGGAGTCTGACAACTTCCGTTGTCAAAGGACTAGGACAGACTGCCACGCCAAAGCATTCCACACGGCACAAATGCCGACTTCTACGTGAGACCTCCCTGGATCCTACAAAGTTAACTGAAACTTTCTTCCTGTAGATGGCTAATTCTTCCACACGGGCACGATTAAACGCACTTCTGATGATGAATCTGGGACATGCTGGGACAGGCGCCAACAGTGACTGGGTTTTGGAGTTTCGATGAATTACACCTTCTTTTAACCCTTTCGTGGCCTAGCTAACCATCCTTCCCATTAACCCTTCGTTCGCAAACCATTTTTCCCGGAAGTCTTCTGCAGAACGTGCCTTCCTCACCTTTCAGACACTTGTGCCCCTCACTCCACTGAGGTCTAACCTCTGCCAAGGGCCTCAGCACCCCCTCCCCATACCAGCTCACCCGGTCCTTGTCATATACCTTCAGGACTCTGCTCTAATCCTGCAACCCCTGCCCAGGCCAGCTCGTGACCCCTGACCCCTACCTGACCCTGCACCCCCACCCCACCCCCGCACCCTCAGAGAGATACCTGAAGTAGTAGACATCGCTCTTGCCAGCACTGAGCCCTGATTTTCGGATCACTTCCTCCTTCTTCCATCCGGGGGGGAGGGCCGGGCAGTCCATCCTCTTCCCGCTTTCCGTGGCCCGGGGTCCCCTGGGCCCCGGCCCCGCGCTCCCCGACGGGAAAGGGACAGGTTCCCGCCGGGGGGCGACGCCGCCACCGCTGCCGACGCCGCAGCCGCCCGCGCCGCCGTCGCCGCCAAGGCCGCTGCCGCCACTCTGGGGACGGCCGCGGCCCCGGCCCCGGCCCCGGCCACGGCCCCGACCCCGGCCACGGCCACGGCCACGGCCACAGACGCCGCCGCCCCGGGCCGCCTGCTTCCACCGCCCCCGGCCACGGCCGCCGCCCCGAGCGCCTTCCCTGCGCACGCCGCTCACCGGGGACGGAGCGAGCGCGCTGCCCTGGCCCCCCTGCTCTATGGCGGAGTCGCCGCCAGCGCCGCTGCCGCCCGCCGCGCTCTCCCCCTCCTCCTGCTCCGGGCAGCAGCGGCCTCCCCCCGGGTGCGCGCGCATCCAGCCCCCTCCCCAGCCGGCTCTGCGCTTCTTCCGTAACCGAGCCCTTGGAATCCCGGAGACCCGCCCCGCCCGCAGCGCGGCGCGCGGGGGACGCGCGCAAGCATCATAGAGCGGGCGCGCACAGAGCGGCCCTCCCGCCCGGGGCGTGGCCCCGGCCGCGCCTCTTAGGTCCTCCAAGCTCTAGGCCCGGTCATGTTGTCGTCTCCGCCTCCTCGGAGCCACGCCTCCCGCGCCCACCGGCTCCGCCCCCGCCGCGCCCTTCCGGCCCAACCCCCACTGGACGCGCGCGCGGGGTGCTGGAGCTAGGTGGGGTGGAATCGCGCTGGCCAGTGTCCTGGGTGACCTGGGTACTTTGTTTCAAGTAGGGTTAAACTGTAGCCGTCGTGTGCGCTTACCTGGGTTTGCTCCCTCAAGTAAGGCGTAAACAAACAAAACATCTCATTTTGTATTTTCAAACTCAGCTGTTCTGGGAATGCCATAGCCTCCTGTCCACCGTGGTTTCCCCAAGGACTCCAGATTGAACGAATGAAGCCGTTCCCCCCCCACGAAACGGTTGTCAGTGTCCTCCAGCGCTTGGGGTCAGGACCACTACTTCTCCTAGGACGTTTTCAGGGTATAGGAAAGGGAAAAATTTGGAATACTCTGTTCAGTGGTAAGGGTTTGGCTTCTAGATTCTCCGTAGAATGCCTAAAATCCCTGAGTTCATCTAGAATTGATCTCATGTCGGGGGTCTTTTCTTGATTTAAACCCTTTGTCTCACATAAAAGTATCAGTGGCCTCTCACTTGGTAAATAGATCTTTATGTGGAAAGCCCAATTTGACCCACAAAACTACACCTTCAGGAATCTGGGTGTAATTCATCTAAGTCAGCCAACTCATTATTCTGGAGTAATTTTAAAGGATAATGGAACTTTATTTAAAGAATGATTTAAGTTTTAGAAAGTTATGTTTTACTCATATTTGAGAGGTGGATCTTGCTGTGTTGTCCAGACTGGCCTTAAATTCTTGGAATCAAATGATCCTCCAGCCTCAGCCTCCCACGTAGTTAGAACTGCAGTGGCATATGCCACTCCAAGCCAGGCTTAAAAAATTTTAGATTTTTATAACTGTCTACTCTTTCCAGAGATGTGCTATTGAAATCCAGGATGATACGCTATGAAATACTTGGAAGACTGAAATATACCATGTCAGACTGGATAAAGTTGGGTTTCTGAACATAGAGAACCTAAAATTTAAGACCAATTTTAACATATAGAAACGAGTGTTTAATGTAATGTAATAGAAAATTAAAACTGGTTTGTCTAGCATGCAAACAGTAACTCATACACACAAACCTCACGTTGAGCCCAATCATGAACTTCTAATGTAGTTGATTAAAGAAAATCTAAATAATAACTCCTTGTAGGTAAACTATCTAGAAAAATGGCCAGCAAAGAGTTGGGTTGTCACAGAGAGGTCAGTCCTGGAACTTTGTGCTTTTGAAGTCATTCGTCAGGGTAGAAACTGAAGGAGATAGCCAAGCTAGGAATATAGCTCAGCGCTGTGTTAAATACGTGTACATCAGGCCCTGGGTTTACCCCCAGCACTACAAAGAAATGAGCAAAATCTCTTTGGAAGCAGTAGTGAGACCATAAATGGGAAAATATATATTTCTGGAAACTTTTACATTTCCATTTTGTGCCTATATCATGCCTATAAATGCATTTTAATGGAGTAAGTCACATGAATTTAAGGTCTTTATTTTAACTTCTACTATTATCAATTTACTCAATTCCTGCAAATACCATTTAATGTTCCTCTAGTAAGAAAAATGCATTTAGGAATTTCAGAAGCTTTATTGTCACATGTGACTTTTCCTACTATAATCCCATCAAGTCTTTTTAAAGGTCCCCTTCAGACTTGCGGGGGAGGGGTCTTGAGCTAGTTGGAAGAACTATAAAGGTACATAAGATCTAGGAATGTTTCAGAATTGGATTAATGCAGGGTTAGGAGCTATGAAACCTTTTACAATCCAGTTGGTATGAACCAGGGGCCCGAAATGTTGGCCTTTCACTTACGTAGTGACCAAAGGCAAGAGTTTTGTGAAACACTGAATAGACTTCCTTTTCTCGGAGGAATAAAACTTAAAGACGTGGGCTCTCATAAGACTGTGCAAAGCAGTTTCAACTTTATGGAGAAGATTGATAGAAAAGTGATCAATTAAGTGAGAGAAATCTCCTTCAGAAGGAGGAGCTTCCAAGAGAAGAAAAAAGCCATGGAACTCCTTTGTCGGGAGGTTTTCATAGGGCATTGGCAGAATCTGGACAAAGACTGAGAGAATCTCTACCGAAATTGGTTAATCTGTGCTATCATGGGCTGAGAAAATGTAAGAATCACAAGCTGTATGCATGCCGTGCCTGCCCAGCCAAGAAGATGGTCATGAGCTGTTCACGTGGTGCTTACCCAGTTAGAGGTGGCTGACCCTCTCCTCTGTCCATCTCTTACTCCAACTTTGTTAGTTACTGACTGATAACTCTTAGTCACTTGGACAGTGTTACTATCGCCTGACCTTGCAGGTGTCTCGCCAGTGCTGTTACTTAAACTAAGCTTCCTCTGTCCCCACAACTACGTGACCAGCCTATAGTTTACTTGTGGCGGGGAGCTAGCTCTATCACAACCACCAAGATGTAGCTTCAGTCTTTCTTGGCTGTGTCATGTGCAGTTCCTTCTCTACAGGGTAGTCTGCAGTTTCTGAGGTGGAAGTCTTTTGTTAGAAGCAATTCTTAAAATTTAGTCTATTACAGTTAGCTGCGTAACAAGCCAGGACATAAGAGAAACCAATGGTGGCATACATATGCCTCTCGAGGGTGTGAGAGATGTCTTAATCTGTTTCTAGTGCTCTGATATAAGATCATGACCAAACGCAAGTTGGAGAGGAAAAAAGGTTTATTTGGCTCACATATTCTGAGTTACAATATTGACAGAAGCCGAGACAGGAACCCAAGGTGTGAACCTTAAGGCAGGAAGTGAAACAAAGGCCTTGGAAGAAGCTGTTTACTGCCTTACTTCTTACGGCTTGCTCAGCCTGCTTTCTTAGACCACCCAGGACCACCTGCCCAGGGGTGGCATTACCCCCCCCCAGTGGACTGTGCCCTCCCTGATCAATTATTAATCAATAAAACGGCCCACGGGCTTACATACAGAAAAGTCTGTTGGCGACATTTTCTCAGTAGCAGTTCCCTCTCCTCAAATGACTCAAACTTGTATCAAGTTGACAAGAAACTAGCAGGACAGGTCCAAGTGGGAGGGGACAGCTGGTCTGCCTTCCCTGGCCTAGAGCCCCTTGTCCCCCTTATCTGTCTAGTTGTTTCACATCCAACTCTAAGACTTCTTCCTCAGGGTTTCAGCCTTCGCCAGGTTAATCTTTAATCTTCCTTCTAACCCCAGCCTCTGCTCTCCATAGAACAAGTGTGAGGAACCTGCAGTTTTCATGACAGGACATTATCATGTGTCACCAACATCATTACTACTGTCATTTACCACCCAATACAGAGAGCTAGCTCCCGTACTAGGGTCATCAGTCCAAATCACAGGCTGATGCTTTTAAAAGATATGCTAAAAAAAAATGCCACAGTTTAGGCGTAAATTATAAATTAGCCAAATATAAAGCAAAGTACTCCAAGAAGAAATCTATACCTGATTCCAAATGAAAATAAAAATGTGTGTGCATATAATTTTAGAGACTGTTAGGAGGAGTCAAATAACCTAAAGTCAAATGAGCAGACACACAGATACAGATATTTAAATCCAGGGACAGTTGTGGAGTAGAGTCTAGTTTCGCCAGCCTATTTTATGACATTCATCCTGTACCATTTATAGGGAAAGATGGACAGTTTGAGTCAAAGCTGTTGGAGAAGGGACTACATAAAAAAAATTTTTTTTTAAAAAGTAACTGTCATACACCGAAATGTTTATAAACTGAATTTGAGGTCTGTTTTTAATGAAATAAAATATGTGTTGCATGTTTCCCAGGGCAATTAACTATTTTTATTATTCCTAGTCCATGGCATGGCAGGCGTGCTATCCACTCTTGAGAGTACACTCTTTAAAACGAGGCGCATTCGTCCAGTGCACGCAACAGGTACCTGACGAGCCCTTCGCAGGTGTCAGGAAGGCCCAGCACCAGGCTCTAGGGAGACCGTAGTGAAACTAAGAACCGTGAAATGTGTGAGCCGATGAGAGAAAAAGTTAAATGATCCCAATAAAGCCCAGCATGTTGGTGAGGGCCGCACCTTATGGCCGAGTTGCGGCCCCAGGAATAAAAGTGGGGAGTTTATGCGGATGTGGAGACCTGGCGTGGTAAGGACGGTTTCTGTGAACAAAGTGGGGGTTATAGAGAAATGGGATGGGGGGTGTCACAGACCGGTTCTGCTAGATGAAAAGTGCAGCTTTGAGTGGCAGAGGTGTGCAGGTGAGGAAACCAGGGAAAGCAGGGAGGGTTTAGACAGTCTAGCAAACCAGGCTCTGAGCTCGGGATCCTGCGACAGCTTCTGCGCTTTCTCGTGTGAGACGCTGAGACCCTGGGAGAGCCAGTTACAGGCAGGAACTCTGTCTTGTTGAGATGTAATCTCTGACGCAATGTTACCACTCTACCCAATGTTCCCTCTTCAGCCCCTGTTTCCTTTTTTAGTTGTTTGAGACAGACTTTTACTATACTGACTGGGACCCCTGGGCTCAAGCGCTTCTGCCCTCAGAGATCTTGGGGTGGCTTGCATTGACAACAGGTGTTCAGCATTTGTCTCTGCCAGACCTGATTTCAAGTGGATCACGTGTCAGAACATTCTGGTGTTTTGCAGGCCAGATAATGGTTCAAAACCACAGTTTGGTATATCAAGTGTTGCCTTGTGGTCCTTACACCTAAAGATCCACTTTCGTCTCCTGGCAGTGTGTACTTTTATACTTTTGTGCATTAGCCACGAGCACTCACTTACGGGTAATGTTACAGGCAGCAGAAATTTTAGAAATGTAAGTCATTTCGTAAATGATTTTTCTGCGGTTCAAAATTCACCCCTTCTTGTTCTCACTCGCTTCTCAGATAATTAACTCTTGTTAGTTGGAATTGTTCAGCGAGAAATTGCTCTGTAGTCATTCCAA